AGTCGCCACTGATAGGGTACGAGATTTGGGACAGATTTGGAAAATGGTATCAGAATCTGCTTTTCCCTGACCCTAATCCCAAGTCTCTACTTTTGCATGCAATATTAAGTCCTCTTACTGAAGCAAGTATTCCTATAACTGAACCTTTGAATGAAATTAGCCCACACAAATTAATACCAAAAGCTATTCTCATTATTCTGGACACTTCTGAACATGTCACGATTTCTAAACCAGAACTTTTAAAAGCACATACACACCAAGCCCCTTTCTTTTAAAAGCTATGTTCATCTATATTTTCATATAAAATTAATTTCTAGTGCCCATTATTTTGCAGACCACAAAGTCTTCCGCTCTCAGAAACACACTCCAAAGCTGCAGTCACCAGCCCCCTGGCTGCAGACCCATACCTTACAGGTCCTGTGGCCTGTTAGGAATCAGGCCACACAGCAGGAGGTGAGCGGAGGGCAAGCAGGCTGTATTTACAGCTGCTTCCCATCACTCACATCACTGCATAAGCTCCGCCTCCCGTCAGATCATCCGCAACATTACATTCTCACAGGAGCATGAACCCTGCTGTAAACTGCGCATGTGAGGGATCTAGGTTGTGGCTCCTTATGACAATCTAATGGTGGTGATGCCAGCACTGGGGAGCAGCTGCAAATACAAATTATCATTAGCAGAGAGGTTTGACTGCAATGAATGTAACGTGCTTGAATCATCCTGAAACCACCCCGCGCTACCCGGTGGTGGAAAAATTGTCTTCCATGAAACAAGTCCCTGATGCCAAAAAGTTTGGGGACTGCTGCTCTAAAGTACATCAATCTTCGACATCCTTGTATATTCCTATTTGCCAAAATTGGGGGGGGGGTGTGGATGAATGGAGGAAACAGGTATTATATGATACAAACTGGCACATTAATCTCCTTCTGGAATTTTAGCAAACAGCATTCAAATCTTACTAAATTAGAGAAAATGTCTAAATAAGAAAAATGAATAAAAAACCTGTGATTTCTTTTACTGCAACTTCATAAAGTTACTAAACATGGTACTGAAATCTGTATTTGGCCCTCAATGAAGTTAATCAATGATCAAATATTTTCTAGTATGAAAACAAGGAAAATAATCAAGATATGTATCCAACTAACAAACAGGCTCTTTTACAACTAGATTTTCCTCTCTCTACATCTGCTTCCATATTTTGCTTTCCTATTATTACGACTGCACCCAACCCACAATTTTGGCCTTTCTCTGTACATCTGCAATCCACAGGCGCACAGGATAATACAGGAGTAGAGACTGAGGGCCAGCTCTCACCACCAGCAGGCTGCAGACAACTCAGACGCAGGGAATCCTTTGTTCTGGAGATCCCCACACACCAACTGAGGGGGAGAATGTCAAAGCTCTAAAGCATTTCACACCCTCCCTCCGGTGTCTCTAATTCCTTTGCCCAGAGAGCCTTGGGAACTTAAGAATATGCTCTGCCCCCTAACAATAAGTTCTGTATTTAAGCTCTGCAGTTAGAGAAATTAAGACCAGTGAAGGGAGTTAAGGTTAAAGAAAGAAAGATTCCCTTGGTGGCAGCAACGGTGGTGAGACTAGCATGATTTGCTGAGGTCTTGCAGAGCCTTCTTTACTCCTCTGGGCTTTGGCCACAGGCTCTAGAGGTGGATGGGGCTGTGCGCATCAGGGGCCATGCAGAGGGCCAAACTGCCTTCCAGGCCTTGCAGTCATTCCCCCTCCTGCTCCCCCTCTCCCCATTCTGAAATAATTTGTTTACCAGTTACCAATCTATCATTTGCCCCCTCAGCTGCCATGTTCTTAGGCCAGGCTGTGCTACGCACAAGGGTGCACAAGAAGCTGGAATCCAGCCTGCACTCGGCTCCCTGAGCCACATACCCCGATGCCAGGCTGTGTCTACCCAGAGATAGGGAGGCTTTTTTCTCTTTTGCACAAAAGCACCATCCATTCACCAAGCCTTGTGCCCCAGGGGCAGTATCTGCCCGGAGAGGGCACCATTTTCTAAATTATTAACATATGGACTAGGCCTGGCTCCGCTCTCCATCTTCTTAAGCCATTGTTGTGAACTAAAAAGACAGTTCTTCCAGATTCTTTTCATATTGCCTTCATTAAAAAATATTTTTCATTTTAAGATATTAGTTCCTCCTTAAGTCAAACAGAGCTGTTTTAACTGAAATAAATGAATAAAGGGCTTCAGACAGTGCCTGGCACAGTCACGTGGTGAGCACCAACCGAGTGTTAGATGTTACTATTCTTACCTTTGTAAAATGTCCTTCAATGGTGGGTTTGCCTAGTGACTCAAGCATTTTTAATAGTGATGTGAGGAAAATCTGCCTGGGCAAATTAAGGGAACTAAGTTGCTCCTGCTTCTGATCCACATCCAGCAAAATGACTTCTGGCATTTGAATAAATGAATCACAGCTGCAAAATGTATTTAATTTAGCCACACATATGCAGACCAATGAAGAGGACATCTTGCTATGAAGATTAAATGAAGTGACATAGATAAAGCTTCTAGCATAATGCAGCAGGAGCTCAGTAAATGTTTTTCAGTAAACTTGTTAAACAATTAAGAAAAGCAGGTGGCAAACCTATTAAAAAGCAGTCCAAAACTAAAAAATAATTGCAGCCTAGGGCCATCGTACATAGAGGAAATCTACCTTAATACAGAATAATTGTTTAGTCAAGTCAGTGACTTCTTGCTTTGTATGCTCTCTGCGGGAGGCACGAGGCGGGATGCTAACTAACCTTCACTGAGTTCCTCCCATGGCTGCCCCAGGTTAGCAGGGTATGTCCATTACGCTCATCACCACTCTACTAGCTGAGGGTTGTTATCCTGCTTTCACAAAAAAGGGACCGAGCAATTAGTCTCAAGGCATGACCACCCAAAAGAAGGTTAAAATAAAATATGAATGTGTAAACCTGCAGTCCCAAACCCCCGGGGTCGCAGGCCGGTGCCAGTCCATGGCCTGTTAGGGAACCGGGCAGCACAGGAGAAGGAGAGCAGCAGGCGAGTGAGGGAAGCTTCATGTGTATTTACACCCGCTCCCCATCACTCACATCACCGCAGAAGCTCCGCCTCCCGTCAGATCAGCGGCAGCATTACATTCTCACAGGAGCAGGAACCCTACTGCAAACTGCGCGCGTGAGGGATCCAGGTTGCACACTCCTCCTTATGAGAATCTAATGCCTGATGAGCTGAGGTGGAGCTGAGGCAGTGGTGCTAGTGCTTGGGAGCGAATGCAAATGTAATAAATGTAATGCGCTCGAATCATCCTGAAACCAACCCCCACGCCCCATCAGTGGAAATATTGACTTCCATGAACCCGGTCCCTGGTGCCAAAACGTTGGGGACCACTGTTCTAATGGACTGAGTGATGCCTCCTGGGCCCAGATTCTCCTTAGGTAGGTCTTCACTCTCCTCAGGGGCCTAAATTAAGTGCCTCACATGGTGTTTGTTCTTTTTAGGATCAGACATTACAAGTCTCAGGTGTAGTGTATGAAATGCAACTTCAGCTTCCCAGAAAGCACAGCCAGTTTTGAGGGTGGAGATGTAGCTTCGTGTCCAGTCTGTTCCAGCTGTCCATGGCACAAACTCTCACAGGGCCCACCGTCCATCTGGTTTATAAGCAAGGGATATGTGCCTCATCTCCTTCCCAGCACTGCTGGAAGGACTGAATCATGTGCTTCTGAAAACTCTCAAGAAATGTAGTATGTGTACAACGTGAACCATGCAGCTGTTTATACTTTCTGGAAATCCTTAAAAGATTCTGGATTTCAGTAACCAAGGTTGGCACCATTTCATGATGTTCACCCTCCCTACTCCCCATTTCCACACACACCTCCTTTACCTCCTCCTCTTTGTGGCGGTGGTTCTCTACACACTGGTTATGCAGACACCTGGATTCTCAGTCTATGCTACCACCCTACCCTCTTCAGTTGTAGCACAGATTTCTCTCATCCTTTTTTTTTTTTTGCTTTGCATTGTCATCCTCTTAAAAATTTCAAACCAAAAGTGCAAACATACTGATTGTTTCATCACATGGTTTTGGCAAAGTCAGCACGCAGTACTGGAATCACTTTATACAATGTTGTCCTTTTATACAAACTGTTACATAAATGCCAAAACACAGGGAAGCTATTGCTTGGTTTCTGGGTTTTTTCCCAGGGTGAAAATTTAGACTTTTTTCTCAAAGAAAAATACAGATACATGCTGTGTCTTATAACTATGTTGTTTCAAAACTATCATTTTCTTTTCAGTTATTTTTTTCCCAAATATTAGCTTCCAACCAGATTGTCATCTGTGTGTCAAACAGTAAAACACACCCCTGCCGATGTGCCTTTCCACGGATGAAATTAATCTGATTCTAAAGCTACAGAGAGTTAAGCCACTATTCCCGCTGTGTGGCCCACTGCAGTCACCCTGGCACCGGGGCTGGTGCTCTGTCACAGGGAGTTAGCAGCTGGGACACGTCTGCCGCGTGCCTCTTGTCCAGAGCCTTAGAAAGGGAGTAGAAGCAGGGAATGAGCTAAAGCCAAATGTCTGCAGTCTGCAGATAAGACACAGGTTTGGTGAAACAGGAAAATTCTCAGTGGTTGTTGTTAACTTATTGTTTACCTGAACAGCTTATGATATGATTCCCATGACAAGCATTAATAAAGCAATAAAACGTGTTAGCAGAACACTTAAATTATCTGTTCTGTGGCATGGATTCTTTTCAACCCCGAGCTTCTTTAAGGAGCGTGTATTCATTACAGACAGAACAAGGGACTCTTCTGTAAGGACGTCAGGTGCCTTGCGTCCTTTGTGGGATGCGGTGAGTTGTAAACATGTAAAGAATAAACAAACAACTCTAAGTGAATGAAATGAATGTGTGCCATGTCACTTTTTAGTTTACCAACCTAAGCACAATTTTCACCCTCTTATTTTCTGCTTTTAAATTGGCTACAGAAATAAAAGTGGAATAATCAACCAGTTAAGAATTGTCTATAAACAAGAACTAGTGAGCCCTGGGAGTAGGAGGCCTCTTGTGTGTGGGTGGCAGCTCAGGCCCCTTTATTTGACCTACTGGCTGCTGCTGACTGTTACGGCCCCTTTGAGATTGACAGAGAGGTTGCTGAGATAAGGGAGACATGACTATGGCAGCTTAGTGCCGAGGGGTAAAACAAATCATCTTGTAGTTACTGGGAGAGGAAAGGATGGTAAAAAGGTAAGACACGAACACTGAAAAACAACTAGAACCGTTAAGAGTTGGAAACAGCTTTTAAATTTAGGCAGGTCAATGTTAATTTTCAAAAATCTATTAAGAATTAGGAGACAAGGATACCTAAAATGGCTTGCATCTGAAGATACCTTCACTTCTTTTGCTTCTTAGGATTCTGTTTACTATTAGAAAGAGAAAAATGAAGGCAGAGAACAGAAACTGATCTGGTCATGCCCAAGAAAGTGTAAGGAATGGCACCTTACAGAATCCTGGCAAAAGGCAGCACAAGATCATTGCCTGCTGCTTTAACATGCCCCAGCATCACGTGACCAACCCCTTGCTACTTACTGTCTTTGAAAATGAAACTCCCATCACATTTAATTTTGACCAAATTTTCCGTGTCTGTGAATCAGAGTGCGCTCTACAGACACACCACAGTTTCAAACCAACAGCTCTCCTGCTTTTGTAGCTTAATAGGTAATCTTCTTGGAAAGTTAAATCCTCTCTTTCTGAATTTCTCTCTCTCTGGCGCGTGCGCATGCGCGCAACCCCCCCCCCCCCCACAGAGTCTTGGATCTGATTTTTCTTAAGGTATCACCCACAAGGATAAAACAGAACAACATTTTCCTTTCACTCTCTTGGGGAAAATAAAGGAGAACTTCTGGGAGGTAGAAGAGCAGGCAGCAAGAAATTAACCAGGCTCACACTTGTAATCCGCTAGCACTTTGAGAGGCTGAGGCAGAAGAAGTGCTTGAGGCCACATGTTTGAGACCAGCCTGGGCAACATAGTGAGACCCCCGTCTTTAAAAAATATAAAAATATTAGCTGGGTGCAGTGGCACATGCCTGTAGTCCCAGCTACTTGGGGGACTGAGGCAGGAGGATTACTTGAGACCAGGAGTCTGAGGCTGCAGTGAGCTATGAAAAAAAAATTGGCACAGAACATTAACTTGCATACAACAGATTATACAGTCAACTATACAGTCCTTGAACATGCCGAAATCAACAACAATTAAAGAAGGAACAATGCTGGTTCCAATACCAATCATTTTTATTATCACCTGGAACTAATCTCTGCTCTAGGACTATGAAGGTATAAATAAGAAAATGCTTGGCTTACATTTTAAATATTAAATACTAATTCTGCTTAATTGAACATGAGAACAGAAAAAAAATTCTCTAAGTGCAAAAGCTGCTAGCTGTTTTTAAAAAGACATAAAAGATTACATTCTCTGAAGAGAGACATCCCAGAAAATATGATAGAGCACAGAGCACAGATTCTTAATCTGGCCAAGCAAGGGACAGACAGAAACAGTCTGTTCATTTATTAGACACCAGCTAGAGAAATCAGGACAATAGGGTTCAAATTCCAGCTTTGTCACTTATTAGCTATATGATACTGAGCAGGTGTCCTCATTACACCTCAATTTTTTTCATCTATAAAATAGGGATGGTTAGAATATCCAACCAATAAAAAGGGTGGCTGGAAGAATTATATGAGATCCTGCGCAAAAAGTATTTAGCAGAGTGCTTGCCTGGCAAATGACCCTTCACAAATAGTAGCTCTTTATTAGCTAGCTGAGTAGGAGCCCGAGCAAACAAATAGTGTTTGCTCAAAGATCCCCGAGATGGGGAGGACAGTACTGGAAAGGGGCAAGCAGGAGGGAAAAGCAGCCCTACCAAGGAGAAACAGCACCACAATGGACAGAGGGGTGGAGAGAGAGAGAGAACAGAGGGATGCCTATAAAAATGTTAAAATCTCAAAGGTTAGAAAATGATTAAATATACTGCCTTTTTCTATTATATACATTTTTGTTTTTTCTGTAATGAAATGTATGTCTAGCTTTCAGTGTGGAGCAGAATTAAAGGGTATCAAATGTTTGTTAAATGCAAACCTCAAAAATGGCACCTGTGAAAGGCTTCCTGATGCAGTAAGGGAGGAAAAGAATGAGCTGTCACTCAGAAAGTGTCAGACAGGAGACCCCTGGTGGGGACCCCTGGCCAAGCAGGATGCCTTCCCCTAGATGATAGACAAGTTCTCCTACTGCAACAGCAGAATACGAATCCAGTCGCATCTGGAAGGTTAGTGGTTCAGCGTTCTAGCTGTTTTGTATGCCAACTGCCCTCCCGGGAGGTAGGAAGCGCCCACAGGCCTGCCAGGGGATGAAGGGAGCAGAGGTCGGGCTACAGCCCCACCCAAAGCACTTCCACACTGCGAGAATCTGGGCAAAGCCCTCCCCCTCCCAAGGACTCAGTTTCCTCCTCTGAAAACAGGAGACACACCACTAGTATTTCTGCCTCACAAGACTGTTATTACACTCAAATGAAACATGTGTGAAACTATAATGCAGCAAAACAATGTACAAAAAATTCTATTGTTAGAAATAACACTCTATTTGGAAACACTTTCCTTAATGTATTTAACACACTATTACACACACAATGAATGCTTACAAAAAAACTTCTAGAACTGAATTGAGATGCTGACAAAGGACTGAATAATTGAGGACATGTTTGGAAATGATTACATTCTTAAATTATTATATAGGTAAGCAAAATTATTCTTAGGGACACTGTAACACTGCATGCTAATCACCCTCAGGAGAAGCAGTAACTGTCAACAGCTCATGGCAAGGAGCCAACTGTCTGCCGGTTAAGTAAAGAAACTGAATTAGCTTTTTCAGAGGAGCCAGAAAACTGAGCCCTGATGACATAAATCCTGATAGCAATGGAACTCTGAACGCAGCCTTAGCCTACAGAGTTTTGTTCCTTTCTTGCCTATGTATTAGGTTAAAATCAATGCAATTACAATCGGTTTATAACCGCCTAGCAATGGTCATCGAAAAACTATCATCAAATGTATGAAAACTCAGTCACTGCAACTAAGAGAATTATAATTTGACAAAAAATGATACAAATTATGTGAAATATCTGCCTTTAAGAGCGACTATGCTTGCAGCACAGAACAGCCTGTGTCTTGTTGGGTATGAGTACGGTTATTTTACAAAATAACAGGGCTACTCGAACATCCAACAACACGCGCTCACACTCTGCTGAACAAGTAAGTAGTTTAATACACTTTAATAATAAACTTGGAAATGAACCTAGAAAACAATACTGAGCAAAGCACAACTTCACAACTGGCTCAGAAGACAGAAAACAAAACAGGAACCTTCACAAATAACACAACAACCACACAAGTGCAAGTGACCTTGAATAGCCTCCACTCCACCTGCTAGCCAAGAGCTCACACACGTGAAGTCTGAACCAAATAAAAGATGAATTATTAGTATTTCATGGGTACACAAAAAGCAAATGCATGAGCAACTGCATATAGTTTGTATTTACTTTTCTATAATGCTGATTAAACAATAAAGTAAAATTAAATGCTATCTTGAAAGCTCAGAGATGACATCTCTGCAAAACGTAAGACAGATCAGGCAAATTCCTGAGTAGTACTAGCATATATTTCTCACATAAAAATAAAATTACAATACTAGTATAAATGTGATATATATTCCACAGCATCGTAACAACGTGAAATGTGACTACGAAATAAAACCGCATGATTTCTATAAGCCACCGCAGTGTCATTACTATGCAGGAACACTGTGTATGTTTTAAGCTACTGACTGATGCTCAGGCATTAGGATAAGTAAATTCAACACCACTGGTGATAGTGACAAGACCTGACAGGCATAATTAAATAATAGTGACTTCAATTAAAAATTTTATTTGTAAAACTGGGCTACATTTCAAAACTCATTCTGATTTTTAAGACCCAGTTCATTTTGAAAACAAAATGCTTCTTAATTCATGTGTTTTGCTGCCAAAATGTAGAGTTCAGTTAAAATATTAATACACTTTAACACCAAATATGAATTTCTAATAATTAAGTTATTTTG